GTCTATTATTAGCGAATTGATGTGTTGAATCGATATTTGGTGAGAAATTTCCTATTTCGGAAAAGTTAAACTTTTAGATTTAACAATATATAATACTATTAGTTATAACTAAATTAGAAGTATTTATATTCTATAAATCAATTGGCAGTGATAAGTTATTTAAGATTTTTTAAAAATTTGAGATATTATTTTCTAACTCTAAGTTTTTCATCCTGAACAAATGTACTAAAGAGTATATAAGTTAATACATTTTGTATTTTTTTAAGCTAAATTTATTTTTTATTTTTAATTATATTAATTTGATTTCAAATAAAATATAAATTATAGTTGAAATTATTAGTTAGTACTTTTCTTGTAATGGTCTTTCTTATGCTTAGGACAAGATTATTTCTCTTTTGACATAGAAAAAAGTTATTAAAATTGTTTGGAATATTGCTTTTCTAATTATTGATAATTAATAATACCATTATATATGGTTTTAAAAAGTTGAAATTGGTTGCTACTTGTTTGAATTCAATAAAAGTGAAAAATTACAATTGTTGTTTAGATTTTATAAAGAAAAAAAATCGAAATTTGAAAAAATTAATTAAGAGTAGGGCTCCTAACAATACCACTTTGATACTATTTCAATACCAGTTCGATACTTAAATTTACTATAAAATTATATTAGTAGATTACAATCCATATATTAAATTTACTATTGATCAGTAATATTTTGATACCAGTTTGATACTTTTTGGAGTTCTAGTTAAGAGTAAAATATATATGTTTTTTGTTGATTCTATAATTTGAATACTGTTTGAATTATTTTTTTTATATATTAAAGAAAAAATATAGTTATTTAAACTTGTATTACAATATTCAAAAAAATATAAGATATATTTGCAAGCTTGTTTTTGAAAAAGAAATTCCTAAGAATATTTGTTGTTTTATTTTTTCTAATAATTTTATTAGTTGTTATAAAAGAAAATTTTTAGTAATGCAAAAATTTTTGAAAAATGGATTTTTTAATAAATAAATAAATATAAATATATAATAAACTATTTTTATTTGGTAAATATATTATAATATAAAACTTGTTTTTGTTTGAATTATAAATTTTTCAAACATGTTAAAAATGTTTCTTTTATATTTTTTTTTACAAAATGTATATTTTAGATTTGTATAAATTCAATAGTTATTAATTATATTTTTAATTTTTATTAATAAAATATACAGTTATAGCTAAAAAAAAAAAAGCCTTTATTGATATTGATGTTCAAATATTAAAAATAAATAAGATTTGATTTTTTGTTTCTTATAATAATTTATATAAATTTTTTTATTAGCCAAATAGAATTTTATTATATTTGTTTTATAACAATAGAAGATAATTTTATATTTTTTGATAAAGTCTCTATAAAATTTTGAAAAGTTGACTCTTGTACAATTATACAATTATAAAAGAATGTTACTTAACAATAATTTATTAAATTGATTTTTTTCATTTTTTTAAGATTATATATTCACTAAATATTAAATAAATATTAAATAAATCAAACAATAAATTTAATATTTAATATAAATAAAATTTTATTACTTTTGTTTTGTTAAAATCTAATTTTGCTATATAATATTTTTAAAGATATTTATATATTAGTAGTACTGCCTTTACTACAAATATATGTAGCTTTATAATAGTTACAAATAGTTTTTTTGATATTTTTAAAATTCAAATCTTTTATAAAATAGTTCTATAATATTGTCATTTTTCTTGTGAGTCTGTTGCTTCTTCAAAGCACTTTTTGTGTAATGTTATGTAAGTATTTGGTTTTTCTACTTAAGGCATATGATTTGTTTAGCTAAGTTTTACTAACTCTTCTTTTCTCTTTCTATTGTTCATTTTTCTTGGCAAATCTTTACCACTTTTCCCTTTATAATCACAACTAAAGATGGGTTTCTAAATTAAAGGCAATGATATAATTCAAATGTCTCTCACTATTAAAGAAGTTTTAAATATAAAATAAAAAAAAAACTACCTACAAAGGTTTTTGCAATTTAGGCCACTTGATCTAAGTGTTTTTTGAATTATGTCCCTTCAAAAAGGATATTATTAATCTGTGAAATTTTATATGTTAAATAATTTAAAGACCTATCCTTAGTTCTAACTATTATATTTTGCAACAAGTACTGGATTAGGTAAGTTAATTAGAATTTACTTAGTTAGGCAATAGTAATCACATATTCTAATTAAGAAGTCTTTAATTTAAAAAATGACTTTTTATTATTCTTGATTTTCTTTTTTTTTCTATACTACAACTCTTTTTTTTATATCTTATCTGATGTGTCTCTATTAAGCTATAATTATGCCATGCGACCCTAATAGACTATTTGTAATTAATAAGCTATTTAAGGTTGTAGCCAATTTAAGCTTTTCTAAAATTATATTATGGTTTTATATGTTGTTATAGACTATAGGTTACTTATTATTGTAAATTAGTGTATGCAATGTGTCAGAATGTGTCTGTGTAATCATGCCCCATATTAGTTCCTGCCAACAATACTTTGCTTCAATTTGTTATTGTAAAAGATAATATTGTTTTCAATAAATTACTTGTAATAATATTACTGATATTGCTGTTTTCATAACTAGTTAAGTTGCTAATTTAATCATTAATATATTAAAACTATAATTATTAAAAGAAATTTTATGTTTTATTTTAAAAAAAATAGTAAAAAATTATTGAAAAGAGGTTAAACAGTAATTATTAGAATAAAAAATGTCAAATAAAACAAACTTGCTAAAATATAAAGAAAACATGAAAACAACAAAAGTAAATTTATTAAAAAGTTTTTTATTTATAATGCTATATTATAAAAACAATAATAAAACAGTATCAAGTTGTAAAAATTTTTGATCATTTTATTTTGTTGCTTTATATATTTTAATTTAATTTATCTTTTTTATTTTTATTTAAATATAAAATATAAAAAATATAAAATTGATTTTGATTCAAACTAAAACTGATCTGATCTGATTTAATCAGATTAAAAAATTTTAAAACCAAATAAATCTGAATCTTATTGGATCAAAATTTTAAAAACTGAACCAATCTGAACTAAAACAAATTCACAAATTAATTGGTTTCAGTTTAAAACTTTGATTCCTAGTTTTATCCTTAAGATCTTTATTTTTGAATATGAGTTTTATAAATCTATCTTCATATTTTTCAGAATAGTAACCCCAAGATAAAATTTATTTCTGCTTAGCTCTGATAAATTTTTTTCTCACTTTACTAGCCTGATATAACAAATGAACAAGCTCAGCAGGTGCAAAATTTGAAAGCTCACTATTAATAATTTCAATATTTTCACCTATTGAGTTTGCTGAAAATTCTTGTAATAAACATTATACAGCTTTACTTGGCACATATGTACTAGCTTCAGCCAAATTCCCGATAGATTTTTGAGATATATTTTGTATTGATTCTTTTATTGAAGTATTTTCTTGATTGTGAACAATGTTCATGGTTTTCATATCATATGATAATGGAGGTTCCACCAACTCTTCTAATTATCTTGAAGAAGTGTTTTGTTTTCCAGAAGAAACTTCCTGATCTCGAAGCTTCTTTTCCCTAATTCTCTCCTTTATTTCATTACTAATTCCCTATATACTATTTCTACAAAATCTAGAGTCTCGGTCGAACCATTATCGGTAACGTCTTATGGTAAATAGGTTACAGGAGGTTCAGGCTCTGCTGAAGATTGTACTAGTTCAGGCATGGGATCGGGAGTAATACTAGAATTTGAAGTATTATCGGGTATATTAGATGCCGGAGTACTAATATAGAAAGCCTAGTCTCAAGCTCTTTATTCTTTTGCTCTAATTCCTCTACTCTAGTATCGCGCTTTGTATTATCTTCTATAACCTGCTTTAACCTCACGTTCTCAGCCTCGATCTCAGAGTACTTTTTTCTAAGCTCAGAAACCTCTTCGAATTTAATTCTTTTAATGAATCGATCTTAGATTTTGTATTTGCCATTTTTTATACAAGATGTATATAAGTATATTCAAGGTTCGTTTAATATACATGTATATATGCTATTTGTACTGAAAAATTTCCGAAATCAGAAATCAACCATGATCAAGAATTGATTTATTTACATTTGAGAATATTTATTTAAGAAATGATATATTTACACGAAAACCAATTATTTTGATATAGCCCGTGATGAAATATTTATATAGCTACGACATATAATATAGACGCTCCGTATCCTCGTTCCGTAAGACTATATACTATATATTATCAGCGAAACTGTGTATTTCATGCATTGTGGACGCATTGTTGTAAAAGGTAAAATCGATAAAATTTTATTAAATGTAAATTATGCAATTATATCGAAACAAGATTAAATTCTGATATAAGAGAAGTCGTACACTTAATTAGGGATTTAAAATAGCTAACCGAACAGGAAAGAGATCGAGGGTAATAGGGTCAGGTAAAGGAGGCGTGGGAATTACGAAGTTGTTTGGCATTCCATGGTAAATGCATCCCAGCTGAATATTAATAACGCATTGCCCAGGTAGAATATTGATTGGATTTCCTTGACGGTTAATCGTTCCAAATTCATACTAAATAGAAAATACATTAAACCCATTCTGTACTAAAAAAAGCATATAATAATATAATATAATATACCATTACAGGGTTTAATGCTCCGACAGCTGTTCGATTATTTATGCAATAATGCCAAGCCTATTAAAGAAGAAAAATTATACTAAGACAACTGCGCAGAAATTAATGCTTGTTAACATTACTTACTGTCATATCCGTTGGAACAGTATCATCTGGTATGTAGTTTAGCTTAATAGCAATTGCATCGTGAACTCTATTAGGAAGGAGCCAGTAATTCTCTATTTTATCCTTGAGATGTGCCTCGGTTTCAGAGTAAGCAACCTCTATTACAAGATTGGGCCAGGGTTTATTCTAAAAGTATATCACAAATATTAGAAATTTAACACAATTACATGAACAGGGTTAAAAACTCTTCATACCCTTCCATCAGATCCACCTCCAGACTCTTGAGGTTTTCCTAAAGGTCGAAGAGACCCATCTGGCTCCTTGCATCCTCCACGTGTTTTTGTTGCTTTTAGTCAAAGTCAGTGATTATTGTAAACATACACATAATACGATAGCATGAAGAAAATTAGTAAAACACTCACTCGTCGCTCCAGAAAATTTAATGACAGAAGAAGTAGTCCTCACGGCTTGAAGAGCTACACCTAATTCCATTATAATTGTACCAATGCAATCCTCGTGAAATGACAAAGGAAGTTCAATAACCCGAACAGTTCCATCTTCCCATTCCCATAGGGCGTGCACATTATGCATATCTGTTCGCTTAATATATTCGTCTAAGGTGACATCAGTTTTTAGCACGTATGGCAAGCTTGAAAATAAATATCAGTTGATATAAGACACTGGTTTACAAAAATATCCATTCATCAAAGCAAATTTGAGACTTACATAGCTTCCTCCCACCTGGCCTTCGGATGCATGTTGCCAGTTTTCCACCAAAAATAACGAAATTTTTTTATTTCATCAGTCTCCTCGATACTAGAAATAGAAGTAAAAGAGGTGGTGGCAGTCTCCTGAGTCATACTTCTCCATGGAATAATAGAATCGCATCGGTATCATTCCATAGAGTTGCCATATTTATTGTATTGTAGACGGAGAAAAATAAGATTGATAATGCGATCAGTCATAAATATATTATGCAGTAGTTCACGTTACTTTATTATAAAAAAAAGAGTCAACCGTGTCTGCTCAGTCACGGTCGAGTTACATCATAATTACGTGATCGCTACATTTAGTATTTTTCCTAACCTGTAATGCTAGAGGTGATCTTATATATATCACATGATCAAAGATGGTAATCGACACGTACCGAATTTTGCGAAATCGCCGAAAATTTTAAATAAATCTCGAGGAACCGTTGTTACTCTAATATAATATGTAATAGCTTACTATTATATCTAATTGCCAAAGGCATACTTCTAACAATCATTATAATATCAATCAGACAATCATCATATTACAATACCCTTTCTAAAGAACATAATCTCAATACTTGTTAAATTAGTATATAAAACAGCTTCACATAACAAAAAGCACTTAGTAGGTTATAATGTCAGATGCTATATAAGTTTTATTCAATTGTTTTTATCTTGGATTAAACTGATATCTTGTAATCTAATCTATGAATTGCTAACTACTGCACTATAAATCTATAGGTCTTAATTAATAAAATTTTTTTAAAATAATAATATATATACATAGACAAGCTAGTATTTAACTTGCTGCTTTATATATACAAAAAATGTTTTTTTATAATATATATCTTGTATATATAATATTAAATAAAAAAATAATGTTTATCTACAGAAAAAATCCTTTCAAAAAATAAAATAAACTTCAAAAAAATTTGTAAGAAATAACTAATATAAATTGTTTTCATACAATTCAAAAAATAAAAAATATTATCAGACTTTTTTTTGTTAATTTAAGATCTTATCCTAATATATACATGTGATATAAATTATTTGCTATTGACTCAATTTCTAAAATTCTCAAAAATAATTGCATTATAACTCAATTATTTACATGTTTTAATAATAACTCAATTAATTGTATCAAATAATTATATTAATTACATTAAGGATCTACAAATTTCAGCAACATGTATTTCTTAATACATCAGTTAATTTTTTGATTTTTTTATAATTTTTGTAATAAAATATAAAAGATGTATAAAGTTGTAGAATATTGAAAAATAATAAAAAATTATTATAAAAAAAGTTTTTTTTCTTAAAGATTATTTTTTGGAGGGGTTATTCCAGTAGGTAAATATCATCTCTTTATTTGATTTGTATATATCAAGGTATACATCATGAAAGAAACAATATCTCTTGGGTGCATTGCATACTACAAGTTAAATCTAGCTTCCCTACTTGTACCATATTTAACTAATATTGTGAAAAATTTTAAAAGCAATATTAAAATATCAAATGTAGAAGTAGTGGCTATACCTACCTACTCGAAAAGTTGTTTGATAAAATGTTTTTGAATAAAAGAAATTGAGAAGAAAAAATTAAAAGTAACTAAAACTAAAACTTTGTCAAGTAAACTATAAAATCTATAAGTAGAAAACCAATTATTTCCCAAGAGAACCCCTGGATAGGCTTGTTGTTCTATCTCTTCGGCTCTTCAGTTACTATAGATAGTAGAGTATATGTGATGTTGTTTGTTGTTGAAGTTGTTATTGTGACACAAACCCGGTTTGAGTTGGTATAGTTTTTGTTTTGATTTTTACGCAAAATCTGATTGAATTATTAGAGAGTACTGATCATCTGAAGAGGTAAACTGATTTCAGTTTTTTTTTTGAAAAATTTTTGAATTTTTAAGATGGCGCAGCAAATATTACTGTGAAAATATTGTGTGTGAGGGTTGACTTGAAACAAACAATAGATCCACTAACTCTATTTAAGTGTGTATTTTGGAAAGTGTTTAGTTTAATGAGTATAATGGTAGTAATGTAGATAGTTTTTATGATATAATAAAGATAAGAAAGAATGCAAAAGAACTGAAGAAAAGAGAACTGCTATAGGCATTTTCTCATGCAACCAAAGGATAAGCAAGACTTCCAAACTTGAATAGACTTCAATCAGAGGTTCCATCTCACTGCACTAGTTGTCTAGAAGGTTCTTAAGTTCTTGAGCTGGGACTTACTTTCGATAAAGAGTATAAAGTATTTTTTCTTGCTCATAAAAGAAAAATTTTTAATAAAACAGATATGATTAGAAGAGAGTTTTTTTTTTCTTACTTAAAAAAAATTATTTTTTTAATTTAATCTAATCTAATATATATAATATATAACAGTAATTATTTTACTTTTTAATTATTATTTAATTATAATAAATATATAAATATATATTTATATGATTGTAGCTTAATTACAATAAACTTGTAATTATATATATATTTAATTTTAAGAATTTTGTAACTATATTATTACTTAATTATAGTTATATTATTTGACTAATTATTATTATAAATTAATTTTGCAAACAAATTTATATGTAATTATAATCTAATTATTACAGTTTTGTAGATATTTGACAATAATTTAATAGAAAATTTAAAACTTTTAATTGTTATTTAATTAGAAATATTTATAGCAAAAGTTATTACTATTGTTACGGAAAAACAGTAATCAACAATATGGCTTATAATTGAGAAACAATAATTGCATATGATAGAGATTGCCAAAATGTGTAATTGATTCTCAACCTCATTATTTCTTCTATTTTTGTTATTTCTTTTATTTTATTTTGCTGTAAGAAAAGTATAAAAATGATATAAGGAAATATAATAGAAGAAAAGAGAAAAATTTAGTTTATAAAAAAGTGTTTACTAATTAAAGATTGACATACTTATTGCACTGTTCTGACCAATAAAGTTTCTTTAAATCACACAAACTTGCAAAATCTATGTCTCTTTTTACCTTTAAGCCCCTACTGTTATAACAAATATTCCTTTTGAAGTGTTGTGAAGTCTAGAATTTCATTATTACTGCTAATAGACCCTTGATCCACAATATTATCATAACTGAATTTTTTATAAATATTATAAATATTTTATGGTGATCTAAGAATGATTTAATAAAGTTTTAGTAATGAAATAGTAAATAATAGGCACTTTTAGTAAAGATAGTAATAATTATAATAATTATGTAATTAAGTAGTAACAATTTAATAAGTTTTAGTAAAACTCTAAAAAGTATTGAAATTGTCATTGAAGTATCAAAATAATATAAGTCTATAGTAAATTTAATACATAGGTTGTAATATAATAAATTTAAGTATCAAACTGATATCAAAGTGATATTGAAGTGGCATTATTAGAAGCTCTAGGGTTTAATGAAGCTTTTAGTTAAATAGTACCAAATGAGGATACATATTAAATAATATTTCATAATAAAAATCTGTAAACTACAAACTTGTCATTTTCTATTGCTACAATATTAATATATAAAAACATTTGATAATTTATTTACAAATTATGTTTATCAAATAAAATTTCTCAATTAAATAAGCTTATATGTATATTTATTGTTAATTTGATAATTGTAATTTGCAGTACAAATATCGATTTTTTACAAATCCATACTATTATCTTAACATATAATTTATTTGTTCCCTTTCAGTTGTAATTTATATGAATAAGATTTAAGCACATTTTATCTTAATTAAAAATCTATATTTGGACCACATGATTAGTCTATCAAGAAGATCAAGTTTATTAAACAATAAAATATCAGATTGGTGAATTTAAAAATCAAATATAACAAGAATAAAGTAACTTAATAAAGAAATAATATGTTAGTACACTAGTAAAGTAGATCAGCACAAAGCCCACTTGTTAAGCTAACCGTTGCAATAAGAAACAAATATACGTACATCTAATATTGTAAACGAATCAATTTGATATAATTTTAAAAATACAAACTAATTAAAAAATTTTTTAAACAAAAATTTCCTTGTCAACCCTGTATTTTTGGAAAAAAAATTAAATTAACTGTAAATCCTTTATAAACGGTATATATTAAAATTCTATTATTATATATTTTATTTACCCTGAACATTAATTTTTCGACCGTGATTAAGACTTTGCTCTTGAGTTGTCAAATTCATTCTAATTTCGATATTTTTGGGCTGTGGAAGATTTTTAAAATCAAGAAGCCTGCTTGTACGAAGAAGTTGACTTGTATGAATTTGTTCACTGGTACGACCAAGTGGTTGACGTGTCTGATTCTCTTCACTTGCATTAATTTGCTTATTAAGTTCGGAATCGGATTCAAGATGTCTCCAAGCATTTAAAATTTTACACAAGTCTTCTGCGGATGGTCGTCTTGCTGGATCAGCATCCCAACATTTTTTTATCAATTCGGCCATTAAAGGTGGCAGGTCTTGAATTTCTGGTCGCTTCCCGTTACAGATTTCAATTGCAAGAGTTTTACTTTCTTCCTCATTTTCACAATCAATATTGCTAAAAGCAGAAACGCCAGAAAATACTTCGAACATAACCATTCCAAATGAATAAATGTCTGCTGCCTTTGTGTGTATCTTATTATGAAAAACCTCAGGCGCTACAAAAGGAAGAACTCCGTATATTTTATCATCACTCTCTTTAGAATTGACTGGTTTGCATAAACCTAAATCCGTTATGTAAACCTCATCATTCCTATTAGAAAAAAGAATGTTTCCAGGGTGAAAATCCCGATGAACTAATTCTGATTTGTGAATTTTGTTTAATCCAAGTGCAGTATAACGTAAAAGCTTGAACTTCTTTTCCCACGACATCTCGTGAATCCCCTTAGTATGATCAATAAATTTCATAACGATCATAAGGTTTGATTCTTTGTCTTTGGTGATTCCATAGCATCTGGTAATTTGTGATTTATTATCGTTTAATTTATAAAGGTTTTTTACCTGGATTTAAATTTAAATGTATTATCAGCAAAGTAATTTATATTAGTTTATAAATTATCGCCTTAATAAATATTTAACCTTATTATGCAATATGAAAGAAATCAAACTTC